AATATTTTTTGATAAAACCGATTTTTTATTTTTTCTAGTGAGGGAACACAAGTTTTAGAAGTAACACGCAAAGCCGCAATCGAATGTGGCGGTGTCGCACGCGTTTATAGTGGCGGAGATTGAACGACCCTTTCGTTATGCCTACTTTCAACAACTAAAAATTACCTTAATGAACGTCTAGTTTGCTCGAATTGATTCAAGTTCAAGCAGGTTTTTAATTTGGCATATACATACATACATATCGCACCGTCTTCAAAAGGGGCACAACTCAAAATTGCACGTTTGTCAGAAAATGCGCAAAACTATTTCTTAGCACATGGTAATCAGTTGTTTTTTTAACAAGTTATAATAAAAATTTGCTCCGGATTTTGCTGAAAGGTAAATAAAAGAGTACGTCTTTAGCGCATAATTTCAAAAATCACAAATTTTGAGTTGTGTCTCTTTTGAAGACGGTGTGCGATATGTAGCTTCTGCAGGTTCGCCATCCAGTTGCTATTTACGATCAAATTCTTGAGGCCTCATTGCGAGTCCTCATATTTATACTCATTTCTCCTATTTTTTCGTTTCTCTCTCCCCGAAAATGTGTTAATAGTCCCATTTATAGCATTTAAAATTTTAATGAAACCTTTTTCATATTAAGCGAAACTATTCGAATCAAGTGAAACTATTTCCAGATTCAGTGAAACTTAATTCAAATTGAAAGAAACTATTTTCAAGTTAATTGACCATTAAGTTAAGGAACAGGAAATCAACTAACCTATTAAGGACCGTTTGCGCAAGATTTCTTTGAGCCCTGTTCGGCAGCCCTTCGCCATGCAAGAAAAACGCAACACTGCCATACTTTTTCCTCAACATTTCGGATACTAGTCGTCATCGATTCTCCACTTCTCTAAATTTAAAATAAAGTTACTCGTTAACTAATAATTTTTAAATAAAAAACGTATAATAGCTTAACAATCCGGTTTCAGAAAGTTCAGTTAACTTCCGCTAGTGTGAAACTTTAACCTGCCTTCACTTTAAAACTTTGCTACTGTGTGCCCACTCAGTCGGGAGATGTCGCTGCACAGTATCAGCACCAGCTGTTTCTCTAACTCAAGTTTTCCTGCAGGGTAACTGCAGAGGGCCATATAAAGAAAAAACAGCAACTGTTCGCACCGTAGTCTGAGTTAGCGAACGGCGAAAAGTTAGTTTATTTTTGAAAATAAGTATTTAGTTTTATTTGTCCATTTAGTAGCCTGTTATTCTGTTACGACGTTGTGAAAATTTAAAGTTTAGGCTCTAAGCAGTCTTCCTCCAGAGTTGGTAGCCCCTACGAGATTCGGTGAATCGAGAATGGTGAAAAAAGGCTCGACTGGTTTTAGCAACTAAAGGACAAACGCGTATTTAAGTAATATTCTTATTGGATTCCTAAATTATTTGTATCAAAATGTTGAGGGTGTTGCAAATAGGTTCACGTGCCTTATTACGTCAACAACTTTCTCTCAAAGCAGACTTGATGTGAGTATAACAAATTGATATGCATTTGGACAAGTACCTACATATCTATTGTCCTCTGCAATAACGCCACGGCTTCAAACTAATTCAAACTAAAAAAAAACCTTACTACTGAACAGAACGCATGTTCCAAGCCTTGTCTAGTCCATTTCTAATTTTTACTAAATCTCTATGACCGCTTTATAAAGATATAGTAAGGATTAGAGACATGAGACACTTAACTGTAGTAACGGTTATTTTTCAGTTTTGAGTTGTGTCGTTATTGCAGAGAACACTCAATATGCTTAAATAAATCAATATCACGGTGAATAATACGCAATTGTTAAATACTTTTAGTACTGTTGCAAAATTCGCAACGGCCTTGAAAGGGCAGGATGTGCAGACGCTGTCGTTTACAATGGATGAAGGTTAACCTGAATCTATGAATTTTCCGCTGTGCTTTACTTTATTTCACTATCAATATTATAGTGCGTGCTGAAATCAGACAACGCTTGGGGCTGCAAAGGGGGTACCATCCCATACCCAGGAGCCGTGAACATCTGCTAAAATACACACCCAAAGCGGAAGATTTACCGCCACGTTCAATGCAGGACTCGTACACCACAGCTGTGCTTCCGCTTAGTACAGATTTGAAGCTTCAAGATAATTATGTCTCGCATTTAGGAAACGTACGTATGGGCCGTTTAATGGAAGATTTAGACTCGTTTGCAGGTATTTATTAGTGATCTTTCAGACGTAAGGAGATAATTCTAAATTGTTGTGTTAGCTGATAATACGTGATTTTTAAGAGAAAACAACAAAAGTTAATTAGCCATTCTATTCGTATATACATATGTATGTATGTATGTCTATGCATTTTGGTTGGTCATTGCGAAAGCACTTAATTGTGCCAATACCAGGGAACAATGTTATACATATGTACGTACATACATACTTAAATATCAAAAAAAGCTATTGTAACACCATTTATGGAATAAATTCAAATCAAACACAACAAATCAAATCAACACAAGAAACACATGCGACACATCCGACATATTCAGCATTATTAATTACATTGTATACATATACGAGAAGAGATTTAGCGAATTTTGCAAGCTCCTGTTATAGTAAAATTTATCAAACAATTGTCTAATTAAAAGTCTATATATCGTCGTTTAAAGTGTAAAACCGCGTATCAACAAAATGCAATACCGCGTATCAGCAAAATGCAAAACCGCGTATGTGAAGTTGTAGAAATTTATTTTCTAGAGCGTCATATTTCTAAATGGTTCTCTTTTTTATAAAGCAATCGCATTTCTGGCTAGTATATTTCAGGACGAATGGATAAGGATTGAGCCAAGAGCTTGTGTGAGCAAATAAAAAAAATTTAATTTTGCAGTACGTTAATACGTACCTATTGCCCATTTATTTTGAAAGTGTTATTAGTCATTTCCACCTCTCGTACTTAAATGGTTGCTTTCGTCTTAGTGTAAATCTTTCTATCGTCATAAACTAAAGACTAAACTTTTTTGGCCTTCTTCATTAAAAATAATGTACCTTTAAAAATGGTTTATGAATTGAAAAATGTATGAAAACGTCATTTTATAAAGCTCTTTAAACCTTCTTTATCTTTAATGAAAAAGCCCATTTACCTTTAGCTGATTAAATTGAACGAATAAAAGGCGCGTCCAGATAAAAGTACAAATTGTCCCTAAAGTCAAACGGAATGAAATGACTTATGTCACTTCCAAAATAAACTGCTCAAAAGTATCTATTGCCGAATTGCTACTAGACATTGTGGAAATAAACTTAATGACTATTTTCATTAACATAATGATACAAGTATTTTTAATACTCAACAAAGTTATTAATTTATTTATTTTTCATTGAATGCCCAGCATTGATGTACACACATACATATGTATGTATGTATGTATGCACATACATGTCTTATTTTTTCAAAACACTTGGTATTTTATTCTTAAATTTCTTTGCACTTATTCAACTTGATAGAGCATATACATATGTGTATAAATGTAAATCTTAACATTTTACAAAAACCTTTTTGTTTAATTATTTTCATATTTGCTCCTTTTAGTATGGGTTGTGCATCAGCATATTAAAGTGCCCACTTTACCTGCCAATGTTAACTTGCCATACACCTTCGTCACGATATTAGTAGATAAAGTGAGTTTTAGCGATTTGGTAACTAATGTCAAAGAAGATATACGTTTTTCTGGCCATATGTCGTGGGTTGGTCGGAGTTCAATGGAGATCGTTGTCTGGCTAGAGCAAAAGCATCATGGCGAATATAAGAAAATAACTCGAGCGCTCTTTCTTATGGGTGCCCGTAATGCCACCAATACCGGTCCAGCTCCGGTAAATCCTATTGAACCAGCTACGGATGAAGAGAGGAAAATACTTTCCGGTGGTGAAGAGCGGAAAAAGCGACGCCAAATAATACAAGCACAATCAATTTTTAGAGTGGAACCTAATGATTTTGAGCAAACTTTGATGTATGATATTTACAAGCGTACCACGGATACCAATACAATGGAATTGAACAAACGTTTGTTGCCGGCTAATGCGCGTTGGATGTCCGAGTGGAGTACAGTAACAACAATACCATCTTTTCCGGAAAACCGTAACGCACATAATAAAGTCTTTGGTGGATTTTTGATGCGTTTGGCTTTGGAAAATAGTTGGACAGCTGCATTCCTGTACTGCTGTGGGCGCCCTAAATTGTTGCATATTTGCGACATAAGCTTTGAAAAGCCCGTCCCAGTTTCATCGTTCATAAAGCTAACCTCTTACGTTGTATATACGGAATTGAACTATCTACAAATAATGACGGTTGTCGATGTGTTGGATGCAAGTGGTGGTGGCACAGGTCAAGTTACTACAAACGCTTTTTATAGTACTTATAAATCAAATGAGCCTGTACATCAGATACTGCCACGATCCTACCACGAGACTATGTGGTATATTCAAGGAAGGCGCAAGTTTAAATATGCAATGGGGTTGGAATAAATGGATTTTAAATGGTATACGTAAATGCCATCGAATATGCTAAAGGATGCTAAAAATATTTACATAATGCTTAATTTTAACTATAGCGATTTTTATAAGTTAATTGTGATTTTCGGCCAGTGACTAATAGCTTAAGTAAAAACTGTTATACACATATATAATTATTTGAACTTTCGGGATTATGTTATATGTACTTTTTTTACATGTGATATTTTTTTACGTATGCATGTAGTAATTTTAACCATTTATTTGTTAGCTCTTGAATTTTATGTAAACGATAAGCAATGCAAATTATTTATTTAAAAAAAATCAATAAATGACTTAAAGCATTTTTATGATTACTCATTCCAAGGCGACCCCATATTTCGAGAGATGTCGCTGCTTGCAAGAGGATTGTAAAATACCCGCATCAGCTGTTTCCTTAAATTAGGGTTTCCGTGCCTCATATAATGAAAGAAAAAACTGCTATCCAAACAGTAGTTAGAATTATTAAACGGGGAAAAGTTAGTTTGTTTCTGAAAAATATATACTCATTTTAATACAAATGTCAGCTTAGAACGTCCGATTTTCTATTCGCATGAAAACAATGTAGTTATTCCTTAACAACATCGTGAAAATTTCTGAACAATCATTCTCAAGAGTTGGCAACCTCTTCGAGATAAGCAAATTGTAAACAAAAAGTCTTGACTGGTTTTAGCAAGTGAAAGGCCAAGAGTACAAACTCCTATTAAAATAATATTATTGGATTGCTAAATTATTCTTTTCAAAATGATGAGGGTGTTGCGAATAGGTGCAGTTGCCTTATTACGTCAACAACTTTCTCCCAGAACAAACTTGCTGTAAGTATAACAAAGCGTTATGCACATGACAAGTTTTTAAATATCTGATTTCAAGGTCAGTAACACGCAATTATTCAATAATTTTAGATCTATTGCAAAATTTGCAACGGCCTTGAAGGGGCAGGATGTGGGGACGCCGACACATACTATGGATGAAGGTGAAACTGAATCAATTTACAATACCTTTCACTGTACGTTACTTTATTTTACTGTTTATAAATCGCTTAATAGTACAAGCTGAGATAAGACAACGCTTGGGTCTGCAAAGGGGCTACCATCCCATACCCAGGAGCCGTGAACATCTGCTAAAGTACACACCCAAAGCGGAAGATTTACCGCCACGTTCAATGCAGGATTCCTACACGACAGCTGCGCTTCCACTCAGTACGGATTTGAAGCTACAAGATAATTATGTCTCACATTTAGGTAACGTACGTATGGGACGTTTAATGGAAGATTTGGATGCGTTTGCAGGTATTTATTTGTGATTTTTAAGATTAGTAGATAATACTAAATTGCTGGTGGTAGTACAAAGCCGCCCGTAAATACTGATAATACACATACATATGTATATGTATATTATTTTTTATGGGAAAACCACAAAAGTTATTAAGCAATAATGTATGTACATATATTCGCAGAATCATATATATGTGTGCATTTATGTACCCTATCTATGCATTTTAGTTTAACACTATGTGACCACCAAAATTGCCTTGATAAGAACATAGAAATCCTAACGCTTTACATATATGTACATAATTATCTAAATATTCTGTTTGTTCCTTTTAGTATGGGTTGCTCATCAGCATGTTAAGGTACCAACTTTACCCGCCGATGTTAAGTTGCCATACACCTTCGTCACGATCTTGGTGGATAAAGTTAGTTTTAGCGATTTGGTAACCGACGTCAAAGAAGATATCCGTTTCTCTGGACATACGTCCTGGGTTGGACGGAGTTCAATGGAAATCGTTGTCTGGGTAGAGCAAAAGCATCATGGCGAATATAAGAAAATAACTCGTGCGCTCTTTCTTATGGGTGCCCGTAATGCCACTAATACCGGCGCCGCCCCAGTAAATCCCATTGAACCAGCTACTGATGAAGAGAGGGAAATACTTTCCGGTGGTGAAGAACGCAAAAAGCGACGCCAAATAATCCAAGCGCAATCTATTTTTAGAGTAGAACCAAATGATTTTGAGCAAACTTTGATGTATGACATTTACAAGCGTACCACGGATACCAATACAATGGAATTGAACAAACGTTTGTTGCCGGCTAATGCGCGTTGGATGTCCGAATGGAGCACAGTAACAACAATACCATCTTTTCCGGAAAACCGCAACGCGCATAATACAGTATTCGGCGGATTTTTGATGCGTTTGGCTTTGGAAAATAGTTGGACGGCTGCATTCCTGTACTGCAGCGTACGGCCAAAATTGTTGCATATTTGCGACATAAGCTTTGAAAAGCCCGTTCCAGTTGCATCGTTTATAAAGCTAACCTCTTACGTTGTATATACGGAATTGAACTATCTACAAATAATGACAGTCGCGGATGTGTTGGATACAAGTGCCGGTGGTAGTAATCAAGTTACTACAAACGTTTTCTATAGTACTTATAAATCAAATGAGACGGTACACCAGGTACTGCCACGATCCTATCACGAGACTATGTGGTATATTCAAGGAAGACGCAAGTTTAAATATGCAATGGGTTTGGAATAAATGAATTTTGAACATATACTACAAAATTACTTCGAATGGACATAAAGATGCTATACATATTAAATGCGTGATTATTATTTAAACAATTCTGATTTTAATAAGTTAATTATGGTTTATCACCAGTGCCTAATAGTTTAAGTAAAAAAATTATACATTTAGTTGGATATGGGGATATTCTACTTTTTACGTTTGCTATTTTTACTTAGATATGAATGCATATGCATATAAATTATGGGCTATTTATGCTTTAATTCACGATATTTATAACACACTCATGCAAATTACTCCAAATAAAAGCAATAAATTGTGTATGTAACAATTATTAAAGATTTATCATTCGTATGTGTATTTTAATTACTATTGGTTATCAAGAAAAATACTGAATACCTGGCGCTCCCACATTTCAAAGGCTAATCTTTATATATTTCCCTTCCCCCTACTAAAATGTTTAAAATTTTGAAACTGGTCGCTGAAAATCCTAATCCACACAAAAAGCTAATGCTTCCGGAAATGCAAACTTTGCATGTATTCGCTTCATATAAAAAACTTTCATTGAAACAGACCATTTGCGCAAATATAAAATTTCCATGTTATATTCTGAGATCCTCAGAAAATCCCCTTATTTGATAACAAATTCCAATTTGTTTTTAATTTTATATTTTTTTGAGTTAAGTGTTGACATAAAAATTAAAAAAACGGAAATCCCAAAGAAAACCTGAATGCGCGACAACATTCATTATTTCGTCCCCTATGCAATCTTTAGAATCGCAGACGATGTGGGTACTGCGATGAGTGCAAAGCAAACATATTTTGCAGGTATTTCTTGAAGAATTTTCCCTCTGGGTGTGCTTTGATTGCTTTCAACACGGCAGCATCAACCTCTTTCTGGTCCTTCTTACGCTGTTCGTTGGGAACAAAGCGTTCTTTCTTGACAGCGAAGATGTCACCCTCACCAGATTTCTTATCCTTCTTGATTTTCAAGCGACGGAAGTAGGCATCATCCAAGTGTTGTGGAACTTTTAAATCACCCAAATTCACCTTGGAAGATGTACCGATGACAAAGCGTTGTGAAATGCGACGCAATGGGCAGGAGTTCAAAGCGAATGGACCAGTAACGAGCAAAAGTCCAGAGCTCAACACCTTCAGTAGCACAACACGTTTGCCCTGGTGGCGGCCAGCCAACAAAATCAGAACACGTCCAGGAGTAAGATTGCGGCGAATGTTGCGTTTGTGGTTGCTAAAGAAAGCCTTAGCGGGACGCTTCTTGACGAAACGTTTGGTAGGATAATTGGCCTTTGGTTTCTTTAGGTAAACGGTACGTTCACCACCGTTCTTCGGTCCATTGATTTTCTTTATCTTCTTGATGGGGATCTTGGTTTTCGGAACAATAGGTTGTTTCACATTCTTCAATCGGTACAAAGCGCGACGCTTGTACATCTGCAAATAAGACATTAAACAATTAGATTAGTTCACTTGATATCTTAAAAGGGCTTTATCATAAAGATGACAAGCAAGCTACGGCACTGAACACATGTATGTATGGATGTGTAAAACTGTGTACATGTTAGAAACTGCAAATTAAAACAATTACTAAATCATTTACACTTTTTGCGTAAAAGATTATTTAGTGAAATTATCGATTATCAAACTGCGAACAAACTTAAATTGCATTTTTCACTCAATTTTAAGTGGTATATCATGCTGCTAATGGCAAAGTAGCGCCATGCTGCCCGAAGAAGTGCGCTTTCGTCTGCCTTTTTCACCATCACATTTCCACAATTTTTACCTGGCTTTTGGAGTATCGCAGCACTCCGCCGCTAAGATATTTATTTAGCGGATGCTTATGGTTCTTTTTGCCCGTTTTCGCGGACTTTTTAGCAACTTCGACGGGTGCCATTTTGGAAAACACGTGTACACCGCAAAGAAATTAATGTAAAAAGGAAGGTTAGGAGTGGCGTTGCTGCCAGATCGTCAACAAATTTGACAGATGTCAAATATGACAGCTGTCAAATTGGCAGCCACTTGAGTGTAGGATAAATTCGCATATTTAAATCACAAGATGTCGCCCTGCAGTAGGAAATTAAAACAAACTCTAAACGGAAACGATACTTGCGTATTCGCAGGGCGAACTTAACGGGGTTTTTCCGTTTCTTTGATTATGCATTTCCATGCCTATTTAGGAGAAAATTTGCATGAACTTATTAGATTCATGAACTTAAAAGTGTATATATGTGCTTCTACCATCTCAGTGAAATGGTTAAGTGATGTAATTTTTTATTACCTTCCTTTTATTAACTCGGGATGTAACTATGTAATATTGATGCGCCTAAAAGATGCAGTGATTTCTATTCTCAATTTTCTTACCTGATGACAGTACGAATCGCAATTATAATAGGGAGGTTTTAGTTTTTTAAACTATAATTTCTTTGTTTATTATATTGCGAAACCACGCTAAATCAAGGGATAACCAACTCACCAGCCATAACTATGTACGTTTTATTATAATACGTTTTATTTATTTATAAACCGTTTTATTTGGACGCCTGTAAAAAACTAAATTAATAACTGTAACGTGGATTCCATAAAAGTGAGCAAGTGAATTTTTGGGAAATAATGTTACAAATTACAGCGTAGTATAAATTTAAAATTTGATACTCGAGCAGATTAAAATCGGGATTTTGGAATTTGCATCGTTATTTTATGAAAATAATGCAATACGTCGAAAAAAACCGCTATACACAGAACATCAGAGGAATATATATATGTAGATATGTATGTATGTACATATGTAGCTACACTTATGGTCAGCTGACTAAGTCAAGTGACATTTTGACTAGTTTTGGCTATTTCTCTTTTGTTTATTTAATGTTTATATTTTTTTTATAAAAGCTTAGCACTTTACCTAACCAGCTCCACATCAATCCACATCTCAAACTTCGTATAAAATGTATGAAAATTCCACAAACTTTAACATTTGCACCCGGAAATTTTAAACTTTCTACTCAGAAAAATTCTGGGTATGCAGCTTTGTAGCTCATTAAATTGTAGTAGGTTAAAGTGCAAATTTTAAAAGGCTAAAAATTAATTTTTAATCATTTTTATTTTGCTGATGGTGCAGGCATTTTCTCCCATACAAACGAAATTGTCGAGCATATGCACTCATACAATTTTTCAAGTACGCCCTATTTCAGAATTCGTTTCAAAAACGCACTACTCAGCTGCCGATTCAATACATTTTGAAGTAGAGTCCGACCGATTAATCGGCCGATGCCGGGGCTAGTATAGGCCAAAAGAACCGACATCGGCCGTTTTTGGTCCATTCTTGAATGAGGTTATGTTATTTAGTTATTTTATTATGTTTTTCTTTTGCTATTATAAAAGCTTATAAAAGCGTATGTTCTTGAAATGAATTTAATTCAGCATTTAATCGGCCGAAGCATTGACCGATTCTTTGCCGAATAAATCCTGAATATAATTTTATTTTAGGAACAAATGCTTTTATAAATTTTTATAACGAGAGAAAAACAATCATATAACTAAATAACAATACCTCATTCAAGAATCGGCCAAAAACGGCCGATTCCGATTCTTTTGGCTGATACTAGCCTTGGCATCAGTCGGAGTCTTTTTTAAAGTGAGATAGGATGTTTTTGAACCGAATTATGGGATAGGGTGTTCTTCAATCAAATATATATAGATAGGGAGTTTTTCAATAAAATTCTGAAATAGGGCATTCTTGAAATGTTTTTTAAGATAGGGCGTTTTCGAACTGGCTGCCGAGATAGGTCGACCCTCCACTCAACAGTCGTTATGAGAATAGGGCATTTGTAAATTCACAACAATAAAATGCACACGGTTACCATGGCAGCAAGCACAAAATTTGCAAATGCAATTCCAACTGTAAATCCAAGACCATTTTCACAACATCCTGAAACAGCGCCAATGTATTTTTATGATTATCTTGTACAAATAAATTCTGTTGTATATGAAAGATATGTAAATATCGATTTTGGTTCTAGTGATTCATCGGTATTTTAATCTTTATGTACCTTTATGTCACAATTCTTTGCGATACGTTCCCTGTTATGTACATATGTATACATGTATATATACTTCGGGCCAATGACTGTCAATTCAATAGTATTGCCCAAACTTTCTGGCAATGTTTATGGTACTATGTACGTTAGACTGCATCACTCCCCATACAAAAAAAAATCGGTACTATTTTTTCATTGGAATTATAAAATCTATTATATTTTAAGACGTCCACCAAAATATTTCGGAAAAATATTAAGATTTAAGTGAGCTGGACCGATTTGAAAATACCTCCAAAAATGGAGTTTTTTATAAATAAAAATAGTTTCTTAAAGATTTTTTTTTGAAAAAATCCCCTCAAATGACAAAACGGTTAAGCTTAAAATATTTGCATAAAAATATTTAAAAATAATTAAAAAAAATTTGAACGGAATCGTAATGATAAGATTTTTGATGCTGTTTTTTAACTTTTTCCAAAGATTGGTATAGGAAAAACTTGAAAAACTGAACCTAAGATCTTCCGATTTAGACTTAAAATGTGTCATTGGAAAGGTATTTTCTCACCCTTTTTATTTCTTTAAACTTATTCAAAGGATGGAGGAGAAAGGTAGGATGAACGAACGTCATTCAAAGTTGAATTAAGATGTGTTGGTATTCGAAAAAACAAGATGGGACACGAATGACGTTTTTTTTTGGCCATAAATAAAAATAGTGTGAAAATACTTTTCTACTGAGATCCCATAAGTCTAAATCAGAACATTTTTGGTCCAGTTATTCAAGTTTTTCGTAAACCAATATTTGAAAAAAGTAAAAAAACAGCATCAAAAATCTCGTTCTTACGATTCCGTTGAAAAGATTTTTAAATATTTGTATGCAGATTTTTTAAGCTTAATCTAATTTGTCATCTGAGGGGACTTTTTTCAAAAAGTTCTTTAAGAAACTATTTTTATTCATAAAAAACTTCATTTTTTGAGGTATTTTAAAATCGGTCCAACTCGCTTAAATTTTAATATTTTTCCGAAATATTTTGGTGGACGTCTTAAAATATAATAAATTTTGTAATCCCGGCGGAAAAACCGAAACTTTTTTTGGTGATGCAGTCTAATGTACATATAACACAACAAAAAAATAACCTTAGTACATACTTTCATTTTTCCCTAATTTTTAAGGTCCCCAATACGTGATACATATCCATTTTGTAATGCTGCGTTATTTTGCGAACAAAAGTTATCTCATCAGTTATCTATTATGGTTCAAAATTCTGTATTCAAAACTCTATATAGCAAAATTCTGTAATTTAATATTCCGCAAATATGTTTCTCTCGACACATTATATGATTATACGTAGTTATCAAATCTTGTGTGAGAGAAAAATATTTAATGCATCAGACTAGACTGAGCACACTTTGAACTGCCATCAAATTATAACTTACGAAAGTTTTATTACATGGCAGTTTGGAAGTGCATGTGCAAATATGTCATAAACTTTTACATATGCAGCAGTACGTAGCATGCATTTAGGCGATTGTGTTAGTAATCGTTCTTAAACACTCGTGAGTACTGTAATCATTTTTATAATAAATCTTCTTGAAGATGCAGATACAACAAAATTTTGCTTGTGGTTTGAGAAAAATTACATATTTGCAGACAAACTTCAAACAAAATATTCACCAAAATTTTGTTCAATGCACGATGAGTCAGCAAGAACTCACGAAAAATCAAAATGGCCAAAAAATACCCCGCCGTAATAATAAAGAGAAAAATTAAAAGAATAATAAAAAATAGAGCAGACATATGTAAGTCCTAAAATTGGGCCAAAATAATTTTGAATCCAGAATATTATTTTCCAGAATTTTAATTATTCATATAGCAAAGTTTTAGATGCATACCAGTTCAACTGAAAGTATGTCTAACAATCACTGAAGATCCACTTCCACCGAAACTTTACTTGGAGGAACAATTTAGCTCTTTGAGCAAATCGAGTCAAAACACTTTAAGCTTTGGGTCACGGAAGAAAGATAGGGAGCTTCGGTAGTGACACTCCAACTTATTCGGCTTAAAGGCTCACTGAATCTGCAGCGTCTGTTCACCAGTAGGTGCGGCTGCAAGAGGGCGTCTGTCAAAAAAGCATATTTAATTGCATTTTTTATCAAACGTCGTTTGTCTAAAACGGACGAATCACTCCACAATTGCAAGAGCATTTGATGATTCCATGCAACTATTGGGTACTAATTTCGTCGCAAATTATTTTAATGTCACTAACCCAGGGCCATGGGTATGTATATCAAACCCTACCTGCCAAAAAACCGTAAGCGACATTTTTTTCAAAAATTTCTTTTTGATGCAGAATTACATACATCTAGATGCTCTACGGGCATTTCTGCATCAAAAAGAAAATTTTTGAAAAATATGTCGCATACGTTTTTTTGGCGGTTAGGGCTCGATATGGTATAAACAACAAAGGCGCTGAAGGTATTTTACCCAAAGTTACTGCACGTTACTCGTTTGTATACAAAACATTTTCGCGGGAAAGCTTTAACTTTAAAAATTTTAAAGAACTATTTATTTATTTCCCAACAAATTAATTAATTTTGAGTTTGTCGTGGCATTAAAAATTACAATATATGCTTGTGTTCATTATAAAATTGTAATAAAATATGAAAAGTAAATAAAAATTAGGGAAGCAAAACAAAGGCGAGAAGTCTTTTTGCATATTTTTCTCTTTTTAGTTCATATTTTTTAGTTTTTAGTACATATTTTTGATTTCTTAGTGCACATTAGGTCCGCTTCGTAGAATAGCGGCTCAAAACGGTAAGCCTCTCAGAGTTGGATGAGGACTGACTGTTGTTAGATAACCCTTCTTCACCACCGCTGCATGGTTGCATCAACAAGCCCGAATCTCACCACCCAATCCTTCTGCTCCATTGGAGCAAGCAATTCGGCATTGAGAATCCGCAACACCTGGCTTCTGCCTTCTACCGGCTCCTCTATCTTCCCTATCTTCCAATTATGCATTGCAAGTGCAAGAGTTGGGCTGACCTGTAGTCCTCGCAAGCGACTGGCTTTGATCTACCCTGATACCAGCCACAATTATAGTAGAGAGGAGGAGGTCCAGGGTTTTCCTCTAGGACTTGGAGGTAGATTTCGGTATTCGCTTCCGCTACCCACCTCCATTTCTCTTTGGGGATAGTCTCTTCCTACTCCCTTCTTTCGACGATGGCTAGTACCTTACCGCCTCGCTTTACTACATCCCTGAAAGAAGGGAATTCATGGCCGTCTGTTTTGGTCTTTTGGTGACCCTATCCACTGCCTGTTATGCTGATCGCTGCCTCTTTGGAGCAGTGCCTGCCGGTTTCCCCAAGCTGGCTACTACTCCTCTCGCGCGCTCTAACCTTTTCCCCGTCAGCTGCTCTGTTGGCATGTCCCCAATCCTAGCCAAGACCCTAGTGGCCGCCTTCTTGCCGCCGTGGAACGATGGAATAGACACCGACCCTCCAGCTTTGAAAGTATTCAACTCGGAACCCGCTGGTGGTAGCAGAGCAAGAAGGAGGCCCTCACTGCTATGGAAAGACCAAGTGGAGAAGGACTTGGCTTCACTTGACATTTCCAATTTGCGTCAGTTGACACAAAAGAGAAACGACTGGAGTGCTTTGTTGAACTCGGCCAAAATCGCTTAAGCGGTTACAGCGCCAAATAAGAAGAAGCTTGCAAAAAATTTAATTTTTTTACATATTTCAAAATAAGGCGCACGAGCATAAGCAAAAGTTCTTGTCATAGGTCAGGCCTTATATTTCGATACATAAATGCGATAAATTCAAATTGTGTTGAACATTTTTTTAAGCTTTAATTAATTGGAAAAAAATGTGGGAGAATATTCCAATCAAAACACACGGACGCTCTTTTATGCTCTTCAGGAATTTACAGGCGCTCTGCTTCCGCTTTTGCTCCAATTACCCATCTACTGTTGGCCACCATCAAGAGCGAGTATGTGAAGGAATAACAATACTAATTCTCAGTAAATTTATACATTATTGGGGCTCGTGCTTGGCGCTTTCAGCAGCTAAATTCGGCTATTCAGTGCCTAACGAAATTGAAACGTGTCGGTTGGTCGATTTTAATGCAACGGCAACGAAGTGGAATTCTGCCACAAAGCGGAAGCATTGTACGAGCTCTGGGAAAAACGACGGAGGCGGATACAGTGGTATGCGAGACGCGAGCGGTGAGGTGATAGCCATAGTGACGCCGTGAATACGAATAGGGCGTATATGTAGGTAGTCGTCGTTTTGCTCCACTGTGACGTAATGAATATTATTTTTAGCGTTAGCCAAAGAAAACGAAAATTTGTTCAATGTTTTAAAAAGCCGGTTTACATACTGAAGTTTTCCAGTATTCGTCTGCATCTCAAAGAGAATAGTTAGTTTCTACTCGCAGCGCTTGTGTACCTACATGTCTGTTTAAAATATCTTACATTCTCGACGTTGAAAAATTGCTCAGCGCGCGTAAAAAAGTGAAGTGTGCCAAACGGCCGCCGACGTAGTAATTAATTATCGTTATTATTGCACTTAGCAACGCAACGGACCACAACAAAGCAAAAACAAATTAAAAATTTTATGAATGAATTGCGAATTGCTTAATAAAAGTGCGAAAAAGGTGCTAATTATAGTGTTATTCATTTGACAAATTTCAAGGTCAATAATTAGCTGGCGTCTTTTTAGAATTACGATTAGGCGGCAGCGTTCTAAGGGGAAACTAAAGAAAATAACATAGTTAAATATTTTAAATACAGAAAGGCAATACTTAAACTAAAATCAATATGTCTTCAACGAAGTTCATTGCTATTCTGCCTCAACCTACGCAGCCAGGGGACAAAGTGCAAATTAATGGAAAAATTTCTGATGGAGCAAAAGAGTAAGTGGTTTGCAATTTTATGTTTATTTGAGTTAATCAATTGTTCCAGTTTTAAGATAAGATTTTTTTTACGATTTTTAGGTCATGTATTTGTTTTTTGGGGAAAGTCAGTTACTATACCTGAGAAACAACATTTGACACTATCTTATTTGAAAATTTGCATTTAAAAATTTCTATAAGATAGCCAAATGTCAAGAAAATAATGCGAGAAAGCTACTTTTTTACTTCACCTATTTAAAATTTCACCGTATAGAAGCAAAGTAAAATAGCCTCATTACTTTAAAAATAACTTAATGCAAAGTTAATTGTTTACGTCGCACAGTGGGACGTCACCATATAAGCTAAGGGCAAAATTAGTAACCGAACTACCAAGTCGCTGAAATTTCTAATATGCTCTATTCTAGACTTGGGAATGAAGAAATGTTGATAATGGTATAAATCGACGCACTGCCACGCCCACAGCTCTTGTGGCCGGAAATGGTCAATGTTATTGGATTTCGATAAAATTTGGAGTATATGTATTTATAGAAGAAGACTTTCTCACTAATACATACGCCCGGCTTCTTCAGAACGGTTTTGGCCACAAGCACCAAATTTTATGAATTTTGTGGAAAATTAACAAACACATTTATTTAATTTCCTATTTCTTCTTTTTAAAAATTATAAAACGAAAACATTTACAATATCTGCGTATTAAATTATGTGTACGATATGCATTTGCACCGACACCGACGCTCCAGCTCTGAAAGTATTAAACCCGGACCCCGCTGGTGGTATCAGAGGAAGAGAGAGGCCTCCAATGCGATGGAAAGACCAAGTGGAGAAGGCCTTGGCTTCACTTGACATTTCCAATTGGCGTCAGTTGGCACAGAAGAGAAATGACTGGCCTGCTTTGTTGAACTCTTCCAAAATCGTTTTAGCGGTTACAGCGCCAAATAAAAAGACGAAGATGTATTTGCACTGAAATCTTCGATTCTTCCTACATTTTATACAACAAGAGCTGAGCTAAGGCAAGCAGGAGTTTTATCATCGCAAACGGATCTCGTCCAGCGAAACGGCCACTCTTGGCTGAATGCTGACTCTGATTAACAGATTCGCAAGTCACAAATATTTACAACTTCCTCCATTTGTATTTTATATACATATCGATATTCGTTCCTTCAGCTATGTATACGATACAAAATTCTATGAAGTATACAAGAGGTGGTTCTATAAAACAAACAAGAAGCTGAAAAAACTGGTAATCAATTAGATTGACTTATTGTATATCCGAAATAATAGAAAAATTAATTTAAATTACTTGCGACAAAATCTAATTTATTCTTAAGCAGGGATCACACGATTTGTACATTTGTACAGATTTGTACATTTTGGCAGTCACAGAGTGGTGTTGTCTAGAAGTAATGAGTTCAGCTCAATAACAACTTTCCAAACAACACCACTCTGTAACTGTGAAATGTACAAAATTTATTATTTACTTGTATATAGGGACCGAGAACGCGTTTGAGTTTTGGTTTAATTCTACATGAGAACAAAATCTCATGTCAAGAACGTTCCCACAATCGGGAACAAAAGTATTAAGAGCAATTTGAATGGGAACAAAATGAGAACAAATGGTTCGATAACGTTTCCGTAAAGAGCGAAATGCGAACAAAACTCTCGGGAACATTTTCAAGAATAGAATGAGAATGACACTTTCGGGAGCGTTTCCAATGAGGAAAAAGTAAGAACGAAAATATCGAGAAGTTTTATAATAAGGATCAAACAAGAACAAATGCCTGGGGAACGTTCTGGTAGAGAACAAAAGTTTTCAGAACTTAACGTTAAGAATGAGGGGGGCGTCTGCATATTGGTATGAAAAATCGTTTCAGTGAAAACCACGATTGTTAATTTAAAGCCAAAGGAAAGCTGGATTACTTCAACTTCCATGTCGTTTATCATTAGGGTGAACTGACCATTTATGGAACAATTTTTAAGAAAAGTGCGTGTCTTTAGTCTATCGTTGACTTTATTTGCTTAGTTAACTTTTAGTTCTTTTTTGATTAATCTTAACATTCAAACTAATGGAACGCTATGAGTAAAATTTTGTTTTCGCTTAAATTTTTCGCGAATAGTTCACAGAAGATTTGTTTCCGTTTAGTTCTGTCGGAAAGTTATTCAGACTTTAGTTCCCCAATTATTCTTCGAGAGAAAGTTCCTTAGACTTTCGTTGGGGTTTGTCAACGGGGGTTTGCCAAAATGGTCCGGACACTTATGTTCCCATTTTTTCTCATAGAAATGTTCGCGAAAGTATTGTTCACATCTTGTTCTCTTTGGGAACGTTCCACAAGGTTTTGTTCTTATATGTATGATTGTCCTTTTTGTTTTGGGTTTTAGGCGTTCTTGGGAACAAAACTACGCGCAGTGTTGCCATTTTGGTGCTTTTGGAGCTAGATTTAGCTCTTTAGATTTCTATTTAGCTCCCAAAATTGGGCTTTAGCTCCTAGCTCCTTTTTTAGCTCTTTTCATTCATCTAGCACGTTTTAGCTCCAGAAAGTTTTAGTTGTATTTGTTATATACATATGTATAAGCCAAAACTTAAGCGTTGACAAAATGTAAATTTCGAGATGCAGTGTATCCACCATAAATTCATGGATCTAGGTTAAATAATTCAAAAATTAATTAGAAGAAAATCCTTTTTCTGATAGTGCGGATTTTGTTATATCTTACTAATTTTACCTTAAAGTAGAGCTGGAAGTTAAACTTTCTGGAAAAATTTTGCGAGAAAATTATTCAATTCAAATATCTGAAATTACAGACTTTAACAGTTTTTAAAGTATTTTTAGTTCACTGTTATATTTAAGTGCCATATTTTGCACCTTATTTTGGTTTTGAAAGATTTTTTCAGCACTTAAACTTATAAAATTCGTTGGTTTTATTAAAAGTGCCGAAAATGTAAAAACAATCTTACGTCAATAAATGTTCCACCTTAACAAAAATATGTAGCTCTTCATTTTAGCTACTATTAGTATTATTTAGCTCTTTTTAGCTCTTTTCTCGACCGTTTTAGCTCCAAACGAAATTTTTCTCTGGCAACACTGACTACGAAAACGACATTTAGTTTCGTTCATACTTTTTGTTCTCGGTTCCTGCTTGTATCTATGTACCTTAAGCTCGTGCCATAAGTGCTAATATGCATTTTTATCAAAATTTATTTTTTATTTTAGTTAGTTAGGTATTTTGCAACAAATCTGCGTAATTGCTTTTTCAGAATTCGCTAGACCATTTTTACAATTTTTTGCCGCCGTGGTCCCATTGTGCGTCGCCGTCTGGTTAAATATTTGGCATGTGTGTAAATATCCATTTAATATTGAGAAAAATAATTACTTCAGTTGAAATATGTTTGGTTGTTCAGTTGAAATGTGTTTTAAATGGGACGTAAATTTTACACATGCAATGGCGTTTGACTAAGCTAGTAATCAAAACCAAAGCCAAATATCTCCAGCATATTTACACGCAACATTTTAATTTCTGGGGAAATCAGATTGAGATACAAAAGTGCGATGTACTGTAAACCTTCCAATACTTTGCACGAAATAACAAGTGTAACTGGATTCCATTTAGGCAAAGGTAAAAGTATCCACATGCAAGTATCCGTACATTTGCATAAAAAATGGTATTTTTATATTTGCATATGCCTGCTTTTTTGTAATTTAAACAGCTGACTTTAATTAGAGTCGTCACTTATTTGGTCTTGCTAAGCATTTCGTTTGGCAGTTCCAGACAAGTTCTTATATCTGAATTGCGGGTCGAAATACATGTAGTAGTATGTATGTATGTATTTACCCTGCAGTAAACATGTCTCGCAAGGCGCTAGTTCAGCACTACACATATCATGACTCTCTCCGAACTAGTGAAAAAGGGATGCAGGGCGGGACAGTTGAAACTTTCGCTGTTCTAGTTGCGCTCACCTCACAATTTCTCACATTAAGCATGTGAAAGCTGAGAACAGGGTTGCCACTTTGATAAACAAATACAACTTTTCGTTCCCGCTTTATTTTTCGTAGTTATCTTTATATTAAAAATTTATTTCCAAAAGTGTAGTCTATTTTATTGCATTAATTTTCGAGCGCATTAAGTATTTTGAATGATTATTTAAATAAAAAGAAACAATGGACAGGTATGTATATATGTAATTACGCACTATGATTATTCGCAAAAAAATTAAATCAATGCAATTGTTAAATGAGTAAAAAAAATACACAAAAGACAGGCGGCAAAAAAATAAAAATAAATCAACGGGAAACTTTTAGCTGCACATTGTTGGTTATACTCAAATATTAAGGGCTATAAAACTCTGCCTTAAATTGTTATGAAAAGTCAGAGTATAAAGTTCGAAATTTAGACAAACATTTTTTGAATTTTTCTAAATGTTGTATTTAGCTTGAATTCTTAATTTGTATGGGTTTGGTTAAAGCCCAAACAATATTCTTATATAAAAAATGCCAAAAAATTTTTACTTGGAAAACATTGTGAATAATAAAAAAATCACGGGGCGTTTTTTGACTCACTGTATTTGTCTGAAATAACTCCAGTTGAAGGTTTTTCAAATGATGAAGTTTCGTTGTTGCCTTTAGTTTCATCACTTTCTCTTTTAGTTGAAAGAAACTGAGAAGATGCCATTAATATTAATTAATTAGTTCTTTGAAAATATTTTTAATTGTTATTGAAAAACCTAAGAAAAACTACAAAATTAAATTGTTTACTAAAATAACGAAAACAAGTTATTGGTAGATATTTTCCATATTTTGTAAATTTTTTTCTAGTGAATGGTAAGTATTTTTTTCGTCAGTGGCAACCCTGACTGAGAAGTAAATGCACAAATTCTCACTTCTGCACAATACGAAAATAGCTCCGAGGGAAGACCTCCGACTCTAACATCGTTGGTCGCGAATTCAAATCGCGGTAGATGCAGTTGCGATTTTCAGATGTAATAAATTTAAATGTTAGTTTTTAAGCAA